CGAGAGCTCTTACAGGTACTGCTGCTTGTGGCTCCTGCTGATGTCTGGGGACCAGATCTTCTGGGCTAACATTCTGGTGACGTTGAGGAAGATGAGGAAGTTCCCCTGCCACGAGGAGATGTGTCTCAGGTCCTGCACGGACCCCTGGATGGGTCCCCATGTCCCCGAGGGACCTTCCAGCCCCTGGGGTGGGATGCTCAGGGGTCCTACTCACAAATATGGCCAAGAGGATGGGAGCCTTGATCACCCACCAGTACGGACTGGTGTAGTCATCCCAGCACCTGTGGGAGAGGAGAAGTGGTTCTGCCACCCCCTGCGAGCCCAGATCTTGTCCCACCACCCTCCCAAAGCCACCTGCCCCATTAGCCCAACACCCCTTGCAATGGGGAATCTTTGGGGCCCCACCAGAAAACAAGAGGAGCATTAAAACCAAGTGCTGTCCCACTTGTCCCCCCTCCTGAACCTCCCACCCATGAAGCTGGTCCCCTGGGACGTGTGGACCTGGTCACAAAGGACAAGAAGTGGCTGCTCTTACCCATGGTTGTCATAGCACAGCCTGGTGACCACCCAGATGCAGACAGTCAGCATGGGGACACCTGCAAGGACCCAGCCAGGCATGTGGAGTCACCTCCTACCTCTCCTCTGTCCCTTGTCCCCAAGAAGATGTCCCTGGGGCAGGGATGGAGGTGACAGGGAGGTGACAGGGAGGTGACAGCCCTTTCCCTGCCTCCAGGTTGTCCAGGAGGTGATGCCCACCCAAGGTGATGTGGTGTGTGTCACCTCTTGCCCCCCTGGGTGCTCTTCCATCCCGTGGCACCTGAGATGGGATTTTCCAGCCCCAGGTGGATGTGGGGACAAGGAAGGACCTGTCTCTGTCCCACCCTGGCCACGCTCAGGGTGGGTGGGCAGCAGATGCTGGTATTTGGTTGGTGCCACCAGGGTGCCCAGGGAAGCTGTGGCTGCCCCATCCCTGGGGGTGTTGAAGGGCAGGTTGGATGGGGCTTGGAGCAGCCTGGGCTGCTGGGAGGTGTCCCTGCCCATGCAGGGAGTTGGATCTAGATGAGCTTTAAGGTCCTTTCCAACCCAATCAGGTCTGTGGTTCCATGGTTTTCTGCTGGGGTGGGAGGACATGCCAAGGGCAACATGGGGAGCACCACGTCCAAGGACCTTTGGCCAGGCAGGTCTTGGAGCAGCAAGTCCAGACAGTCCCCAAAAGTGCTGGTTACCCCTGGTCTGTGTCACTGGGACCTCAGTGGAGGGGGATGTTGGGCTGGGGGCTCCACACTCACCCCAGCCAAGGAGGATGTAGCACCTGAGGTACCTCCTGTCCGAGGTGAAGGTGAGCAGCAGCAGGGTCTGCAGGTACATCCCCTCCACCAGCAGCCAGTAGAAGTTGGCCAGGACTGAGTACTGGAAGAAGGCAATGGCTGCTTTGCAGGTCACCTGGGAGGATGAGGAGGAGGAGGAAGGCTCAGCAGTGCTGCCCAGTCAGAGCCCCAGCACCAGGGATGGTGCATCTCTCTGGTCCATCCACTCCAGGAGACCAGGGATGGTCTTTTGGTGCAGCCCCCAAGATGCTGCCCCACGTGTCACCTGCACCATCTTCTGCTCTGCCTGTCCTTGTAGGACCTGCAGAAACCTCTGTCTGCTGGTGTCCATGGTCTTATCTGGGACACCCTGGGGGGCTTCTCTTTCTATTGACAGCCCCACATCTGCTCACCCACCCAAAATGCCATCCTGGGGGCATCAGGAAGGGGCCAGCAGGTCAGGGAGGTTCTCCTGCCCCTCTGCTCTGCCCTGGGGAGGCCCCATCTGGAGAACTGGGCCCAGTTCTGGGCTGCCCAGTTGCAGAAGGACAAGGAGCTGCTGGAGAGAGTCCAGCCCAGGGCACTGAGATGCTGAGGGGGCTGGAGCATCTGCCTGGGAGGAAAGGCTGGGAGAGCTGGGGCTGTTGAGCCTGGAGAGGAGGAGGCTGAGGGGGGATCTGCTCAGTGCTGATCAATATCTGCAGGGGGTGGCAGGAGGATGGGGCCAGACTCTTCCCAGGGGTGCCCAGGGACAGGACAAGGGGCAATGGGCACCAACTGGAGCCCAGGAGGGTCAAGCTGAAGATGAGGAGAAAGTTCTTTGCTGGGAGGGTGGCAGAGCCCTGGGACAGGCTGCCCAGGGAGGTGGGGGAGTCTCCATCCCTGGAGACATTCC